CTGGAACTCGCTCTGTAGACCAGGCTGACCTGGAACTCAGAGATTCACCTGCCTCTGCCTCCCAAGTTCTGAAATTAAAGGATGTGTCATCATCACCACTGAAAACACACAAATTCCAATAACATGAAATATCAATGGTCTGAATTGTCAAAACAAAAGACACAGACCAAAAGGATCAAGAAACAAAATCCATCTGTCTGCTGTTTACAAGAAACACACCTTTAAAGATAGGCGGCACTATCTCAGAGTAAATAGATGTACTACAAGCACTCCAATCAAATGGAACCAGGAAGCAAAAAGACTTCCCTTATCCTAGTATCTGATGAAATAGACATCAAACTAAAACTAATCATAAAAGATAAAGGACACTTGGTATTAATCAAGGAAACTCTTAACCAGGATGGCATTATGATCCTAAACATACATTCACCAAAAGCTAGTGAATGTTTAATTTCATTATTTTAAAAAAAAGTACTAATGGATTTAAACACACAGATTAACATCAATCCATAAACAGTGATTCCAACAACCCCTACTTTCTATAATAGACATCACCTGAATAAAAAATACAGAGAAACGTCATAATTAATACCATAAGCCAAATTCAGAAAGGTTGAAGTAACTCTATGTATCCTATCTGACTACAATCCAATAAAATCTATAACAACAAACTCATGGAGACTTCCTTATTTTTTAATGGATGATAAATGAGTCAAAGAAGAAATCAAGAAAGAAAGAAGAAATTTCCAGGAACTAAATGAAAATGAAAACACATCAAAACTAAATTTCTGGGCCATACTGAAAGCAGTCCTTTGAAGTAAATTTAAATCTCTAAGTACCCTACATTAAAACATAAGAAAAAAGCCGGGTGGTGGTGGCACACGCCTTTAATCCCAGCACTAGGGAGGCAGAGGCAGGCCGATCTCTGAGTTTGAGTCCAGTCTGGTCTACAGAATGAGTTCCAAGACAGGCTCCAAAGCCAGAGAGAAACCCTGTCTCGAAAAACAAAACAAAACAAAAACAAAAAATCAGAAAGAGGGACTGGAGAGATGGCTCAGCAGTTAAGAGCACTCATTGGCTGCTTTCCCAGAGGACCCTGGTTCAATTCCCAGTACCAACATGGCATTCCACAATTGTCTAATAACTTCAGTTCTAGAACATACATATAGACATACATACAGGCAAACACTAATGCATGTAAAATAAGAATAAATAAATCAAAAAAATCAGAAAGCGCACAAATAAATAAATGATATACCTCAAAAATTTGGAAGAATATCCAGGCAGTAGTGGCACATGCCTTCAATACCAGCACTCTGGAAACAGGCAGGTGAATCTCTGAGTTTGAAGCCAGCCTGGTCTACAGAGCGAGTTGTAATTGCAGGCAGCCAGAGATACACCAAGAAACCCTGTCTTATAAAACAAAACAAGACCAAAAAAGGAGAAACAAGAACAAACCAAATTGAAACCCAGTTGACAGCAAGAAATAATATAAATCAGAGTATAATTCAATGAAATATAAAAAAAATTACAAAAAAAAGCAATGAATCTAAGAACTAGTTCTTTGAAAAAATAAACAAGATTGATAGACACCTGCTGGGGTCCAACTAATCAGAAGGAGATGATCCAAATTAACAGAATCAGAAATGAACAGGGAAATATTGTGACACCAAAAAAATTCTGAATATTGTAAGGGAATATTCTCAAAAACCTGTTCTCCATTAAGCTGGAAAACCTAAAAAATAATTAATTAATTGATTAATTAAAAACCAAGAATTTCTAGATTCAGCCAAACCACCAAAATTAAAACTCAACAACCTAAACATATAAATAACAAATGAAGTGATTAAAATAGTAATAAAAAGCTTTCCAGCTAAGTAATTCCAGAGCCAGATGGATTCACAGCAGAATTCTACCAGACTTTCAAAGATCTACAACCAATCCTTCTTAAACTATTAAAAAAAATTAGGAGCAGGAGGAGCACTCCCAAGTACCATCAGAGGAGCACTTACTTCCAAGCCCCAATGGAAGAGTACTCCCAGGCTCCATCAGAGGAGCATTTCCAAAACCCATCTAGGAAGCCAGTATCTCTCTCATATCCAAACAGGTAAAAACAACAATAACAAAAGAAAACCACAGTCCAGTATCTGATGAACATAGATTCAAAACTTCTCAATAAAATACTTAGAATAAAAAAGACTATACACCACGACCAAGTGGCTTTATCCCTAAAATGCAGGGATGGTTCAACATATTCAAATCAATCAATGTAATAAACCCAAATGGACTAAAAAAAAAAAAAAAAATCACATGATCATCTCAATAGATGCAGAAAAAAAGCCTTTGACAAAATCCAACATGCCTTTAAGATATAAGTCCTAATAGGACTAGAAGGCACATATCTCAACATAATAAAAGCTATATATAAGAAGCCCACAGCCAACATCATCCTAAATGAAGAACTTGAAACAGCTCCTCTGAAGTCAGGAACAAGCCAGGGTTCCACTACCCACTCCTTTTCAACTGTGTGCTCAAAGCACTAGCTAAAGCAATTAACACAAGCGAAGGAAATTAAAGGGATGCAAACAGGGAAAAAAGTCAGACTATCCCTACTTGCAGATGACATAGTATTATATATTAAGAAATTTTTAAAAAAATCTATCAAGAAACTTCTAGAAATGATGAATTCAGCAGTGTAGCCGATACAGAATCCAACTTGTACAAAGCAATAGCTTTTGTACACACCACCAACAATCACACAGAAGAAGGGATCATAGACATACTCCCATTCACAATTGCCTCAAAGAAAATAAAATACTAGGAATAAACCTAACCAAGAAAGTGAAGGACCTCTACAATAAAAACTTTAAACCTCTGAAGAAAGAGATAAACAAAATAAACAAACAAACAAACAAAAAACTAGAAAATGGAAGAGACATTCCTTGCTCATGGATTAGTAGAATTAATGTTGTGAAAATAATATTTTGCCAAAAGCTATTATAGTTTCAGTGTAATCCCAATCAAAATCCCCATCTCATTCTTCACAAAAATAGAAAAAAAAATCCTAAAATTCATAAAGCCACAAAAACTCTGAAGAACCAAGACAATTCTGAGCAAAAAGAACCATGCTAGAGGGATTACAATTCCAGGCCTTAAGATATATTACAGAGCCATTTAATAAAAACAATATGGTATTGGCACAAACATAGACATAGACCAGTGGAATAAAATCGAAGACTCAAACATGAGTACATGTAACTTAAGCCACGTAATATTTGACAAAGAGGTTAAAAACATACACTGAAGAAAAGAGGGCCTCCAAAAGATGGTGCAGAGTAAACTGGGTGTCCAGATGGGGAAGAATAAAAAATAATGCCTAAGAAATACCTCAAAAAATATTCACTGCATTAGGAAAAGCAAATCAAAACAACTTTAAGGTTTCACCTTACCTCAGTTAAAATGGCAAAGATCAACAAGCAACAAATGCCAGAGGATATGTATCGGAAAAATAACTCTCATTCACTGTTGGTGAGACTGCAAACTGGTCCAGGCACCCTGGAAATCAGTGTGGAAAATTCCCAAAAAGATAATAATAAATCTACCAAGTGACCCAGCTACACCACTCCCTTGGTATATTCACAAAGGATTTATTACATCCTATTCTACAGATACCTGTTCAGTCATGTTCACTGCTGTTATAGTCTCAAAAGCTGTAAAATAGAAATGACCTAAATGTCCTTCAACTGATGAGTGGATAATAAAAATGTAGTACATATACACTATGAAATACTATTCAACGTTAAATGAAATAAAACTCAGCAGGTAAATGGAAGGAATTAGAAAAGATCATATTGAGTGAGGTGACCCAGACCCAGAAAGACATACATCACATGCTTTCTCTCATCTGAGGCACCTAGCTCCAAGTGTTCAGATGTAAGTACATATCCCAGAGTAACTACAGAAATCAGGAAAACAAAAAGGGGTCATTGTGGAGATGGGGACTAGGGGAAGCAATAAAAGTGATCTGATCAGGGAAATGGGGAAAAGAGTAGGGGCTCTAGTAATGAAGGGTGGAGATACAGAAGGAGAAAGGTAAAATAACAATTAGGATGCCTGATTAACTACCCCCCCCAAAAAAAAACCTATAATACACATAAGTCTGTGTATAAATAAATTCATCATTTATATAATTTAAATGAAGATTTTTTTTCATTTGGTCTGATAATGCTCCCTCCAAAGTCCACCTAACAAAAACCCCAACACCAGGCATAAGAAGCCCTGTTAGGAGTTGTTGGTCAGGGTTGTCCAAAAGACTTCCAGAACAGGATACACCATTACCCTTGGTTGCCCTCAAGAGGTAGACGGTAAGTTCTGTATTGCTGAAGACACCATGAACTTCAGATGCTCACCCAGAGACCCTTGACCTGGAACTGCCTCTTTCCTGAGAACTAGCTTCCATGGTACCAAAAGACACCATGCAAGCTTCCAAAAGAAGAAAGTAATCAACAGTCCTACCCAGATATGATGCCTACGAACCAAAATAACCACCCACCTATGAACCCTAACCACCAGCACAGCAGAGTAACCCTCAGGTACAATAGTGGCATCTACACTCTGGTAGTAACAGCTCTCTAATTGGACTTAAAACCCACTCAACAAGAGTATGGGACAGCATTCCAAGTACAGGACACCAGGCAACTACCGAGGGTTAGTAAAGCCAAGGGTCTTGAGTGTGGGAGGATGAAAATGAAAACTTTTTTTTTTTTCTTAAAAAAAAAAAAAAAAAAAAGGCTCCAGTTTATGGACTAAGAATTTTACTATAAGCTCAAAAGTCTATATGACATTCTACAATCATGTATGAATAACTTCTGAAATCAGATTAGATTCTTATGGTTGCCTTAAGAGTACTATGAGCAGAGCACAGATCAAATGCAAATGACACATTTCAAAGTCTACTCCCAGGTCACTCTAGAATGTAAGAATACTGCAATCTGTTCTACCTTCAGTTTCTGATTTTGTGCTTCCTCCAGATTCTCCAAATGGATTCGTACGCCTGAAGTTTAGGAAAAAATATGAACAAATGGGTCAGTCACTACAAGCCACATGGAAGAGACCAGAGTTTAAAACTTTATATGTTTACAAAGAAAAGCTCTAGAATGTCCCATTCTGTTAATGAATGGGACAGCCAGAATACTATATGAGCGAGCATCACTCTTACACTGAATAATAGGCCAAGACAAGGTGTCTGCACTGACTGATTTATCTAGTAGACATAAATTTAGTCACACAAAGCAAAGAATCCTCCTAATACACAATTTTCCAAAAGTTCTCTTTTAAATAAGCCAACAAAGAGGAAGACTAATGTGGTGATAATACTGGAGGCTTTTGAAAGCCAGGAATTTCCTAGAATGGTAAAATTAACAGTCTGTGTTCTTTAAGTACAAATTACAAGTTAACTATAACAATTTGAACACTGTCTAGTTCAAAACATGTACTTCTTTTTCCTGCTAGTTGTATTTCCTACAGCTGGGTCTGTATTTAAGTATTACATATAAGTATCTATATGTACTAAGAGGGCTTGCCTAGAATGCACACAAAGCCTGGGTTTGATTCCCAGCACCACAAACAAAAGTGAGACAAAACTGAACTATATTTCTCAAGATGTAAGTAACAATGCAAGGAGAAAAGTAAACTACTTCCCCTCCCCTTCCAGATCTTAGCTTGCAGCACAATTACAACGGTAGAAGGAAAAACTTCAATTCAAAGAAGTCTTAGAAGTAGTGCTCTAAAATAATAATGGCATTAAAAAAACAAGACAGGAGCTAAGGACATGGCTCAGTCTGACCTGAGCTCAACCCCCCAAGACCTATGTAAAAAAGCCAAGCAGCCATCTTTAATCCCAGCACTCTGGAGGCAGAGGCAGGTGCACATCGGAGTTGAAGACCAGCCTAATTCTAGGACAGCCAGGGAGACACAGAGAAACACTGTCTCAAACACCCTCTTGTCTCCCCACCCCCAAAAAAACAAGCAAGGTTGTGCACACTTTCAATGCCAGCTGAGGAGGCAGAAATGGGTAGACCCCTGGGGCTTACTGGATAGCCAGTCAACCTGGCAAAATCCAGGCCAGTGGGAGATTCTTTATCAAAGAGGTGAATGGCTGAGGACTGGCACTGGTGAACTGTCCTCTGGCTTCCACAAACATGCACATAAACCTACATGTGCATCTATAAACATATTACATACACACACATATACACACACACAGAGAGAGAGAGAGAGACAGAGAGAGAGAGAGAGAGAGAGAGAGGATTAAGACATTGATCTCTATTTTAAAAAAAACATTTATTATTATTTTAGGTGTATAGATGAGTGCCCACATATATGTACATACACTATTTATGTGTCTGGTGTCTGTGGAAGCCAGAAAAGGGCTTCAGATCCCCTGGAATTGAAGTTATGGATGGTTACCAGCTACCACGTAGGTGCTGGGAACCAAACCTGGGTCCTCTGCAAGAGCAGCAAGTGTTGCTAACCACTGAGCCATCTCTCTAGCCCAATACTGATCTCTTTCATATCAGCCTGGTATATCACATCAAATGCTATACATACTTAGCATATTTATACATATTTTCATGACTATATTAATGTCATATGCAAATTTAATGTATTAAATGCCCAACCTCCTTAATAAATGATTCGCCATAGTTTGACTTCTTTATGTGTATGCACATTTGTCTATATAAATTATTGTGTACCACATGCATTCAGGAATCCAAGGCTAGAAGATGGTTTCACATTCCCTGGAACCAGAGTCACGGATAGTTGTGACCTACCGTGTGGGTGCTATGAACTGAACTTGATCCTGATACTCTACAGGAACAGAAAGTGCTCTCAACTTCTGAGCCATTTCTCTAGCCAGACCCCCTAAAAAATGAAGCACTTTGACAAGAGTGCTCTTCCTCTTCTTCATAGTCATCATCATCGAGATGAAGTAATTGTGGTGGTATTTTATTTATGATCTAACAAATAAAGCTAGCTGAAGGTCAGAAAAGCAAAGCAGCCAACCACTAGAGTGTTCTTACCTCTACCAAGGCTCAGAAAGGGGATCCTGTCCTTAGGGTTACTACAGGCTGACTGACTCCTGTCTCCTCCTAACTTATATTCCTCTCTAGTGCTGGGATGAAAGGCATGCGAGTGTTCTTCACCAGTAACATCATCAACATGACAAGATCTCATGCAGTCCAAACTGGACTCAAATTTGCTACACAGCCAAAAACAACTTGAGCTTTTTTTTTTCCTCCTTCTTCCTTTTTTGGTTTTTTGAGACAAGGCTTCTCTGTGGCTTTGGAATCTGTCCTGGAACTCGCTCTGTTGACCAGGAAGGCCTGGAACTCACAGAGATTCGCCTGCCTCTGCCTTCCTAGTGCTGGGACTAAAAGTGTGTGCCGCCACCACCTGGCTAACTTGAGCTTCTGATTCTCCTACTCCCAACTCCCAAGTACTACGATTGCAGGCATGAGCTAATAAGCATGCACAGGTTTTGTGTGGTGCTAGAGATTGAATCCAAGGCTTCATGCACACTAGGCAAGCACTCCACCGACTCAGCTACATCCCCAGCCACATTCTGACACAGAATTTTTAAAATAGTGTCACTTCTCCTGTAATTGACAGGCCAAATGTCCAAATAATAGACTCAATAAGCAATTCAGAATTAAATTTTTTGACATTTGACTATCCTAACATCTTTAATTGATGCAGAAGCCTAAAATAAACAGAATCTGTATGGGTCTATCCTAACTATGAAAATGTTATTAGGCAATTACATGAAAGATAACATAGCCAATGCAGAAATACATCATAAATAGAATCACATTGTCTTTGTGACATCATCACTCACCTGCCTCCTTGGCCAAAGGCTTTTGCCTGGCCAGGCTGATCTTCACACACAGGAGAAATGATATCAAACTGTATTGGAGTATCTGGGGCAACAAGAGAATCTAGAGAGAGGGAAGCCAAATTCGTAGACTCTGATCCCAAGGATCCTGAACTGCTGGTTCGAGCTGTTGGTGGCCGAGATTGTCTAATGACAGAGGAAAATAAAAAGGCACTGAATTTAGTTTTTTCTTTCAGAAGTTCAATGCTTAGCAGATTACAAGAAAAGAAAACAAGCATGCCTTTAGAAATGAAGGCACAGAATCACAAGCCCTGGGCCAACCTGATCTACAAAGCAAGCCCTGAATCAAAAAGTAAAAACTTAATTCTAAATCAGCTAACTATTTAGTAAAAAAGAGTCCTTTCTTTCCACTTAGGAGATGAAGTACCTGCTGCCTAAGCAGGAGAACCTGGGTTTTAATCTTTAACACTTGTATTTTAAAAAGGTGCCCATGTCAGCAGGCATCTGCAACAACAGCATTACAGTGCAGAGATAGGAGACTCAAGGAACCCATTGGCCAGTCAGCGTACCCAATCAATGAGCTCCAGGTTTGTGAGAGACCCTGTTTTAAAAATAAAATTCTCTGGGGCTGGAGAGATGGCTCAGCGGTTAAGAGCACTAGAGGCTCTTCCAGAGGTCCTGAGTTCAATTCCCAGCACCCACATGACAGTTCACAACTGTCTGAACTCCAGGAGTTCTGACACCTTCACACAGATATACATGTAGGCAAAATGTCAATGCACATAAAATAAAAATTAATTAAAAATAAATAAAATTATCCAATTTCTCAACCTCTGGCCTGCACAGGGGCATATACATGCATGTGTGCACACATACACCCTTTACTAGTAAATTTATTATTTTGAAAATATACTTATGTTACTCAGAGATGATTTAGTACTTATCTAAGAAGTACTATAAGTCAAACTGCTTATGAACACTTTAAATAGCTTATACTGTCCATTAAATAACCCAATATATTAACTCACCCTGCTGGACACAGGCTTTTGTGCCTCTGCTGGAAAGATGGGATTAAATAACCCATATACTAACTCACTCTGCTGGACGCAGGCTCTCGTGCCTCTGCTGGAAAGATGGGATTAAATAACCCATATACTAACTCACTCTGCTGGACGCAGGCTCTCGTGCCTCTGCTGGAAAGATGGAATTAAATAACCCATATACTAACTCACCCTGCTGGACGCAGGCTCTCGTGCCTCTGCTGGAAAGATGGGATTAAATAACCCATATACTAACTCACCCTGCTGGACGCAGGCTCTCGTGTCTCTGCTGGAAAGATGGGGAAGGAGTGACAGCTTCCAGAGCAGACTGATTTACTCGCGCAGCAGTTTCCTATTTCGTTTTGTTTTTGTTAATTAAAAGAAAAGGATTAGTATTAATAATGTGGGAAACTAAAAGTTTGATATAGTTCTCAAAATCGTCACTAAACTCTTTAGATGTTTTTAAAATAATCTAAAGCTATTGGGGTATTTCCATTCTCTGACCTTACTGGTAAGGCACATTGATTTCAAATATTATAATTTAAGAGTAATTCTAATTTCCTTCTACTAACATACACAATAGGAAAATACTCTTTTTCCATTATTTTTTAACTACCAGTTATCTTGGTTTGTACCACTATGACCTAGCACACTTCCTAGTCTAATTCAAAATGTTTTTATAGAACATAAAAATTTAGAAATAGGAAATATTCATTAAATATAAAAGAATTCTTCTAGAATACTGTTATTTATGAAATTATTATTAATATCCTGAATGATATCTCATTTTCACAAAAACAGAATTTTTTCTAAATGAAGTCTTTGATTTTAAAACCTGGAAATCATCTTTATCATTTTCTTCATTACATTTCACCCAGTCAGTTACTAACTAGTGTAGACCCGCCTGTCAAATCTGCCATTAACCAACAGGAGCTTAGGCTAGACACTGTGCATATGCCATTAATCTGGGTTACGGGGAGGGGAAGAGACAAGCAGATCCAAGAAACCCTGTCAGGGTAGGGGGAAGAGTTTAAGACTTAGACTTTCAGCTGAGATCATCAATCCCTACCCAGGTCTGGGAAGCACCTGGGTTTACAGCATATGCAGCCCACAAAGACTGTCAAGGACCAAGTCTTTCCCCAGCTCTCATACAGCATGGATTCATTCCAGTCCTTCCAGCCCTTGGATTCTACCTGCACTTCTAAGTTTACAAGCTGAGGTTTTAAACCCTTGCTACTGAAAGAATAATTTGCAAACTGAAAGTTCAGGCTACATCATTACAGATGTACAAAATCATAACATGTATCTGAACAGGATTTCCAGGTAATACTAGTCCCATCTCCATGTCATTTCTGTGTCTGAGCTTTAGTTTTTATTGTATTATCTGCAACATAGCTCAGGTTTCTATCATCTCTAAAGAATTTTCTCTAAAACAAAATCCTAATATTCTCAAAATATAAACCTGTACATGATCACCATGTGCACTGTTTTAGCAATGTGCTTCTCATCACAACATGTACATAAAATGTCACAGTTTACGTTTTCCCTTACTATAGTCACTCCTAGAGGAAGCCACAGAGTTTCACCTACATTTTTACCTACTCCATGGCACTCACTGTGAAGCTAAATTGTCAATACCAATTGAGTAAATGATTTCAGCACCTTTTGAAATAAACTGTTCTGGGACAGACAATACAGAATCATATGGATTCTGTACTTGAGATTACAGAACTTGAGAAAGAAGTCAATTAATAAAAGCCATATAAACTACAAAACTACTTCATTCTGATAGATCTGAATAACAAAATAAAAAATAGTACCTCTGGGTTTTCACTCAAGTATATTTGTTTAGATATGTTGTTTATTGTACAAATCCACTGAAAAGGAAAAATAATATGATTACTAATTTTTTTCAATAAAGCCTCTCTACTAAAGAAAGCTATTCAATATTAAACTGAAAAAGAACTTTCATTAGAAGTAGCACATAATATTCTTCATAAGAAAATAACCCTAGAGCGGATATAGCTCAGTGGTAGAACATATACTTAAAACACCACAAACCAAACAAGACACCTGCTACAAACAAATGCATGTATGAGATCTTCAGATTAATTATTTTTTATTTTTATTTATACTTTTTATTATTTTTACTTATATATCGATCCCAGTTCCCTCTCCCTTCCATCCTTCCATCTCCCCCCCCCCGACTTTCCCTCCTATCCCATTCCCCAAGATTATTTTTAAATAGTTATTTATACAAGGAAACAAATAGTAATCGTGCTAAATTATAACTTAATAGTATACAATTATTCTTTTACTCCCTCCCTTATTTCCCACCAAATATGGTAGTATGGACTCAGTTACCAAAATACCTATATAAAAAATTAAAATACAAATTCTTTCTGAGTAATGTACATTATGTATCTTCCTTCTTTGGAAATAACAAACACTATCTCACATTTTCTGCCTCACTCTCAAGTATTCCTGTGCCTGACAGACCTCACTAAACTGATAATCTGAGTAAACCATGCAGAGACAGAAACATCTGTGTCCTCAAAGACTACAACTACTCTTTTTCCCATGAGAAATAAATACATGTAAACTCCATCTTTTACCAGTAAAATTATAATACTAAATAAAAATGCTTGAAAGTAAACTGGGGTATATTTTCCTAAAGACTACTTATGACAACAGTTTTAAGGCAGCAGTCTTATAACACCTTACCTTCCTTGTGTGCTATCCTAGCAGTGAAACTGGAGCCAAAACTAAAAAGCTTATAAGGAAGAACAGAGACTCCATATCTTTGCTTTCTGTCTGTCATTTCCCCAACGTTTTAAGCTCTAGCTGCTCTTGTGGTACCACATCTGCGACCACTATGTTCTTGCTGCAGCAAGTAGTGTCTCAAAAGTTAGTGAGGATGGAGAATAAATGAAGCTGTCAACTCATCACACTAAGCCTGCCAGAAGACAACACTCATAAGGTCATTGCTGAATAGAATACTTGAACACAGCACAGAAATAATGTCTAAGGTTCCTCCAGCTACAAAACTGTCAGAAAACTAGGACTGCTGCTTCAGAAAAGAGAACTCTGAAAATGAGTTTTAATTAATTAGGATTTTTCCAAATTTTTATAATGAATACATTAATATGTTTTGCTCTCAGGAAAAAAAAAAACAAAAACTTTTTTTTCCTGAAATTAACTTTATAAAAAAAAAATTTTACCTCTTCATGGTCCTTTTTACTCTCTGCTTGCAAAATTGAAGATCTAGGGAGAAAAGAGTGAAAGTTTTAGCCTCAAGTTTAAAATTAAAGAAAAAGCACAAGTGACAATACTTTAGGGAAAGAAGACCACCAAAGCGTCAGGATTTAAGCCTGAACTCCAAGAGGCTATCTACAATACAATGTGCAAAATCAGATGGGCGTGCCCACTCTCAGAAGACAGAGCACAGAAGAAATACACTTAATTCCTGGCATCTCTATTGGTGATCTGACTAGAAAATACTAACTTCATTACTGAACAGTTTCACCCTCAATAAGATTAAGCAAAGATTCCAACATATGAATAACTAATGTGAGTATATGGCTTTGTCCATATTTTAACATTTTAAGAGAAAATGTAAATTTAACTAATTTTCTATCATATCACGAAAAATAGGAAACCATAAATTTAAAAATGGGGAAGCATTAGCAAACACTAAAAATACAAAAATGTAAACACTAGTAGTAACATGTTAGCAATTTGATAATATTGCTAACAGAAAACAAGACATGCATTGTATGTCTGTAGAAGGACTGACTAGGAAAATAACCAAGTGGCTAAGATAGTTAGCAAAATTATCTTTTATGGAAAATGTACCTTAATGTATATAAATATTATGGAGAAAAAATGACTTTCAGAAAACTTAGAGGTTTCTTCTAAATAATAAAGTTCAAAGGTCAAAATCAATCTCAGTTTAACTTAATTATCTATCATTAGGAAAATGTTCAAATTATGTTGTATGGTTTTTTAAAGATTATAATGCAGCCATTACAGATGTTTTTTTTAACTTACTTGCTTTATTTATATGTATGTGAATTGATGTATACCACATGAGTGCTGGTCACCTTCAAAGCCAGAAAAGGGTGTCAGTTTCCTTAGAACTGGAGCTATAGGCAGTTTGATCTGCCAGGTGTAGGTGTTTGGAACTGGACCTAGATAGATGATGCTCTGTAAACATAGCAAGTGTTCTTAACTTCTGAGCTATTTTTCCAGTCCTATAAAGTGTTTTTTTTTTTTTTTAAATAGATGCAGATCCAATTTATGCATACAAAATATCCAATTAGTTAAGAAAACAGACCAGGCCTGGTGACACACTTATAAACTACTGAAGACCCTTAAACTACTTGAGAGGCTAAGGAAAGAAGACTACAAGTTGAAGGCCAGTCTAGACAACTTACTGAGAACCTGTCACACATGGAATTTTATTTAAAAAAAAAAAGGGGGGGGGGGAGGCTGTGGCCCTAGCTATGTGGTAAAGACTTGCCTAGAATGCTCAAGATTGTGGGTTCAAGGCAAAGGAGAAGAGAGGGGACGGGGAGGGGAAGGAAAATACATAACTAAATTACAGGTGTTTTTTCTATTCTATTTATATTTATGTTTTTCAAAAGAATTGTTCTACTCTATAGATTCTCATTTAATGCAAAAGTAATAGAATTTCTTTAAAGGGCATGATAAACAATAATGGACAAATTAAACTAACCAAATGTAACTGATAAACATTTCAAAATAAGGAGCCAGAGAGACGGTTCAGTGGTTAAGAGCACTGGCTGCTCTTTCAGAGGACCCAGGTTCATTTCCCAGCACCCACATCGCAGCTCACAACTGTCTGAACTACAGTTCCAGGGGATCCAGCTTCCTCACACAGACATACATAAAGGCAAAACATCAATGCACATAAAGTAAAAATAAATAAATTTTAAAAAAAGACTACTGCTAGAATCTATACATCACATGAGCACAGTATGTATGTCAGATTTCTATTTCTCACAGTAATTGACAGTACAACTCCTCTATGTTTGATGTATAGAAAAATAGAGAGGTTTTAACAGGCAACTTGTCCAAGAACACAAAGTAAATAATAACCCACGACCGGCATTCTTATTTACACTGCCTTCCCAATACTGTGCAGGCTTTTTCAGTGACTAGTCTCAAACATGAAATCACAAGTTTGTACCATTTGTTACTTTGACAACTTCAAAGTATTTTTTTAATCATTTAATTAAGTCAGAAAAAAAAATGAACTCATGTCTATTAAATTAGGAAGCAAATTACCTTAGTACATTGTTGTAGGAATTTAGCAGTCATTGTAAATATTCGAATGAACAGTTTTCACTGTATTTAGAGTAAACATTAGAGGGAATAGTTGTTTTCTAGAAGTACTTTGATCTTAAAGTATCTTTGTGGAAAACAGTAATTGTTTTCCATGATTTGTAAAACTGTTTTACTGAAGGGGTTTTGCAGCCTTCACATGACTTTGGTCACACCTGAGGCTTTTGGGTTATTGTATATTGCACATGATACACAAGAATGAACTAATAAAGTCTTGAGGGCATGTGATGCTTTCCTTTCAAGAGAGACATACAGATTAGATTAGGGACCTTGGTATGAGGGGATACTTTACACCCAAAAAAACTTTGTGTAGCAATCAATAAATAAGCCTTTGTATGGCTTTCTAGGGTTCAGTTCAGTTCATGAGAGGCTGAACCTTCCCCTGCTGCCACAAAGGCCTTAAAATTTCATCTTGAAGTGACCTTTCTTTGACCGACTCACACAAGACAATAAAACACAAACGATACATGGTAATTCTAAATGTCTATATTAAACAAAAAGTAACTACTTTGCATTTTATTTTAAAATATGTCTTATTAGCAACAGAAAAATACTAACTTTTTTCCATCAAAGGAAGTGATCTGAAAACAGTATCTCCTGTCTTCACAGTCCACAGCCATCACTGAACAGTTGTCTATATCCATGGCCAGGCCTCCTGCCACATCTCCACGGGCTTGACTCATTAAGTTTCCACCCTGCGTGAAGTAAAACTGTCTATCCCAGGTAGATGACACCAAACCTGTTTTACTAAAGAAAGTACATTGATATTTTAATAATGACACCTAAAAATCCCTTATCAGCAGACACAAGAAAAAGCATATGAAAACAAAACAACTTGCAAAAATGCACAAGAAGACCTAAAATGATTTTGTTTATGTTGATTCACTTGTATGAAAGTGTATACAGTTTCAAAAACAAGGCTAGAAATTATTAAGTGGCAGCTGTTAAAATGATACATCAAAAATACAAGTTACAGTTCGATATTCAAAGGAAGAAAATCAATTTTATTTCTAGGATTAATCTATTTCACCATCCTATACCAACTGATGGCTGGGGACTTAGCTCAATGGGATCATGTGTGCCTAGGATGCTCAAGGGCCTGAATTCCAAGCCAGTATTGATAATTGAAGAGAAAAAAAGGGGTGTGTGGGGGGTTCGGCCCATTTCAAATGAAAACTCAAATTTGACTTGACATAATCACATAGCTGAGTACGTAATTAATATTAATATAACGTTATGACAGGCTTATCTGGAATTAAATTTGTTTCATCCCTTTTATAAATACAAATTAGTCATAAATATTAAGGTAAGACTTTTTTTTTTTTCTTTTGGTGTTTCAAGACAGGGTCTGTCTATGTAGCTCTGGCTGTCCTGGAACTGGCTTTGCAGACCAGGCTGAACTTGGAACTCACAGAGATCCATCTGCCTCTGCCTCCCAAGAGCTAGGATTAAAGGCATGCGCCACCACTGCCCAGCTTAAGGTAGTATTTTTAAAGTATTCATGAACCTCCATCTGTCAACAAATTCATATAAATACACCGCTAAAAAGTTTCAACCTTAGGCTGCCAAGATGGCATAAAGGTTCAAGGTACTTCCACCAAATCTAGTCAAGCACCCACATGGTGGAAAGAGAGGACCAACTCCAGCATGCTGTCCTCTCACCTCCACTCCTGACCTGTGCTACAGCATGTTTACACAAAATAATCATCATCATAATAAAAATGTATACACAACAAACATTGAAAAAGGCTTCAAACTTTAGTAAAACCAAAACAACCTGGCAAGCAATGTTAATTATATACTACATTGATTGGATATTACAGGATGAGATATGAACATAACTAGTTTTCTTACTTCCTAGCATTTAGGTACCCAGCCTTTCGGGTTAAATTTCTATTGACAGGAAACTTGGTGGGATCTGGGTCAGGCACGTATAAAGGGTCACTGGCTACTTCCAAGTCTTCTATTGTCTGTTGCATGGTCTCAACATCACCATCCATTTCCCTTCGAACACTAATAAAGAGAACAGACTAGTCACTACCAGCCAAAACCAACAAAGAATGCCTTACCAATCCTATGTGCCCATATATTTAATTATTTAAAGAAGCAACTGTAAGATGGTTAAAGTAACAAATTCATTTTAATTGGTTTTTAAAACTTAGATATTTTGGAAACAGTATCAAATTTCAACACTAGTAAAGTAACTGGACATCTAACTACAGAATAGTTTCACAATGTTCAGTGATATGGTCTGTGTTCAGGGCCCAGCATTGCAAACGAGAAAATGAAAAAGCCCCAATTTCATCTCTCTGCACACCTCAGATTAACAGCATTGCTACCCAGATAGCAAAGGTGATTAGAAGTGCAGCCTTTCTCTAATTAAACACTAGAGCATAAGAAACAAGACTGGCTTAGTAATCTTCCAAGCATGTTTACAAAAGACACTTTAAAGAAAATTTCACTTGTGGATAATTACTATTATTTATTTATGCTATTCTGACATAAAAGCTAGCTTTCAATTATTAAAACTGTCATCAAATTTCACAATGCTATGAAATCTAGAGTTTACATTCTAACGAAAAGACAGTAAAAACTCCCAAAATTTAGAGATTGAAGCTCAGAAATATACTTGTGACAGGAAAACTAACCCTTAGGAAATTAAGTTGTAAATGTTTAAATTATAACATTTAGCTGTTAACTTATTGATATAATTTCATTTTCATTTTAATGAAAACAAAACACTTACTTCTGAACACTTGTTCCAATATTAGCTAGAAATTCTTCCAGTTGTCCATTGAGATTTTCAGAGCCCATCTTAAAGAAGCTCATCTGAGGTGGAGGAGGCGTGAGAGGTGATACAACACAAACATGCACACAAAAAAATTCAGGCTAAATCACACTAACAATTTCTAGGACACAAGATTACATAAAAATGACATTGGGTTATTTGATTTGTGGTTTATAGTATCTAACAGAGACTGAGCCACTGAAGAAACTAGAGTGAACCCCACTGTACATTCTTTCACATATGGGGAGATAAAGTCTCACTGTGTAACCCTGAGTGGCCTCACATATTCCTCTGACTTCAGGCTACTCTTATGCCTGAATGGACACTCAAATTTCTTGGTTTGGTTTTTTTTTTTGGGGGGGGGGTTGTTGCTTTGGTTTTTGTTTGCTGTTTTGTTTTGGGTTGTTTTGTGTTTCTCTATGTGGTGTTGGAACTTGCTCTGTGGACTAGGCTGGTGTCAAACTCACAAAGATTTGCCTGCCTTTGCCTCCAGAGTATTGGGCTTAAAGGTGTGCACCACTACCTCCTGGCACATTTCTTTAAGGAAATGGTATTTCCCCAAACTCAACTTTTTAGCCTCTTTTCTAATGTGAACGTTTTTGGGCATTTGAACTACATTTTCATTTTATGCATATGGATGTTTTGCCTATGTGTATGACTGTTCATCATTTGTGTGACTCCCACCCTTACAGATCAGAAGAAAGTGTCAGATCCTCCATCATATAGGGGCTGGGAACTGAACCTGACTGAATCCTCTAGAAGAGTATTGGTGCTCTTAGCCACTGAGACATCTCTCCAGCCCCAGCACCAATTATTTTTGGCTCAGGTAGTATGCAAGCAGCATCAGACAGATGTGAACTTGCTCATTCCTTCTCAGACTTACAAAGCAATAATGAAAAAAAGCTTCAGCATTAGTATCACTCTCACATTCATCTATCTTTCTGATCCTGTCCTTACCTGTGGTGGAAAAAGTATGAATACAATGTGTTTCCACTTATTCTATAACATTTTAGAACTTCAATTCCAAGAAAACCATTCTCCCAACCTTATAAAATAGGACACTCATGACATTCTTAAATTTTTTATACTACACAAATTAGTATGTTGACAACAGTTCACAATACCGTATAAGTAATGCAAATATCAAACCTAATACAAGGCTTTACTACAGATAGACATGTCCCAAAACATAATATAGTATTTACCTGAGCCTGCATGTATCCAAGTAGAGGTTCTAACAAAGCTATTTTCTTCTTGTACTGAAGAGTATTTAATGCACAAAAATAATGCATCATGGTTTGGTGTTGTTTCTTCCTGGAAGTATACACATCCTCTGTTACTTCGTACTTTACCTTTGAATGGAGAGTAAAATATTATTACTTTTGAATTATCTTCAACAGAAACTGTGAAGAGTCTACTAAGGAAAACAGTGTTATCAATAATCACTGACCACAGTTTCCCTGTTTTCTACTCTACTGGAACTCCATTAACACTAGGTAAACTGATTTCCTATCACTTACAAAAGGCTTATCTGCATACAAGGGCAAATGTAAATATTTGCAACAAGCATGACAGAGGGAACCCACCATATGGATTATTATTTAGCCAGTAACATCTGATCTTATTCAGCTCACACCACATATTCTCCCTCCCTGGTTTTCTCCCTACCACTCATTTTTTTTTCTTCCTGCTCATTCTCCTTGACTCACTTTAAAATACACTCCTGAGTTATTTTATTTAACAATTTTTCATTAAGCATTTATAGAGGCCTAATATGCATTAGGCTCTTTTCTTCCTTCCCTTGGATTACCTATCAAATTCCAACATCCCAATGCACCCGTGACTTGGTAGTGATAAATTTTATCTCCTACCAGCATCTTCCAAGCACCAGAGGGAAACTGGGTTCTTTACGTGCTTCTGTGTATAAAAATTAGTGTTTATATGTATTGGAAACACTAAATCAAAAACAGCCTCATGACACCTGCCCTTTCTTGCTTTTTCTTATTTCTCTCTAGGAAATGTCAGTTTGGAGTTCACATCCTACTACAGGACTTGTCATTTCTCCTTATGAATTCTCTTTCTTTCTCTCTCTCTCTCTCTCTCTCCCCTCTCCTCTCTCCCCCCTCTCTAAAGTAGGGCTGGACCACCACTCATTCACAAGTCTTTGGTTTCTCCTCTTTTATAACAACCTTTATTATGATTATGCAAAGTGTTCTATTATTCCTTATTGTATTCTCTCTAGTACTGTCCCTTTCACACTCTCCTTACTGCTTTTGTTACATACTGTATGAAATTACTAACCCACTTAAAACCCTTTGATGATTATTCACTTCCTCTAATACAAATCTCAAAGCCATAAATATAGCAATTTGGCCCCAAAATTTTCTTTGTTGGGCTTTGGAGAGGGGGGCTGTCAGTATGTTTTAAAACAGTGTCTCACTCCAGGTAGCCTCAAACTTTCAATGATCCTCCTGCCTTTGCCTCCCAAGTGCTGGGTTCATGTATGTGAGCTACCACACCCAGCCCGCAACTACTTTGTTATTTCTGCCACCTCTCCCCCAAACACATACTAAGAGAAAAAAGGTAATGATTTCCTCCCATCGCCATATGTTTAGAATTTAGTGGCACTTGCTAAAACTGCTACTGCATTATCTAATTTTATTTGTGGAATTTGTTTTACATAGAGAATAAAGGCATGGAATTAAGTAACTAGTACATGACTTCAAGTAGTAGCAGACCTCAGATATGTCCCCAAAATCTTACCCACCTCAACCAGTATTCTAAACCCTTATATTCTCCAAACTCCAGAAACACGGCCTCTACAGAAAAAATATTTTGGTTTTAGGAATTTTTGTTGTTTGGTTTGGGGATTTAAAGAAACAAAAAACAAAAAATCAAGTCCTTTTCAATCTCCAAAGTGTTGTCTACTTATCTACAATTGTACATGTCACCTCCCAAGTATGTTTCCCAACTCACCAATAAAGCTCTATCTGTACAACTAGTAAAATTCCAATTACTGCATTTAACTCATGCCAGTCTATAGTATCTCCATCCTTGTACTCTGGAATGCACTTACATAAAAGCCTTCAATGAATGTATGAGAGCAAGAGTGGAGCCCACTCACACTGTTCCCCAAGTTATCCAACATACTGCTCGATAAATAGATGCTCAACAATTAAAAAAAGATGAGTTTTTTTTTAATACTTGGAATAGCCAAAAGCAATATTAAAACATGCCAAATTTTATAACCTAGACCCTTAAGTAACTCTCTAATGTAGCTCACAAACTGTGTATGTTTTATTGGGTAATTTGTGAACTACAATTAGAAACAGAAAGCAGTTTTGGGGAATGATCACTGTGTGAGAATCATTCCCTTTGTTGTCACAGTGAGTGCTGCACAGTGAATGCTACTCAGTTATCAATTCCCATAAGCAATCACTGTGCCTCTGCCTGCAGAGAGATCCCCTCATGTGCAACCATTGGCACAAGCTACATCTCACGCCTTGAAATCACCTAGAACTTGTTAAATATTCTCTTTAATCTTTACTTGAGTACATTTGTCCTAAAACATTATGTAATACTTCTGGGTTTCGTCCCTTAAAGAAATATCAAAACCTAAATATTCCATTTAAATAGAGGAAGTCTCATACCAGAATTTCATTGAGTTTTGTATATAACAATTCACTAAGGTAATATGTGTAACTTACTTTTTTTGTTTTAATCATATGATTTTCTTTAAACGAATTTCCAGACAGAGTGTTTTGTTACTCAATTTAGGGTTACATTTTCCTCACCCAAACTACCATGAATACCTATTTATACACACATGTACATACTTTCATACAACCTGAACACAAAACTAAATTTTTTTGTGGTTTTTTTACTTTTCTTTTTGAGATTATAATTACATTTCTCTGCTCCCTTTCCTCCCCTCTTTTTCATTAATTGTTATTGCAAGCATATACTGGATCTCACAAGGTATTTCTGAATTCACATATGGTCAGATGAAAACAGAACATGCAGCATTATCAAAACATAAAACAATAAAAACAAGTTTATATACTGGGAATCAGCTATACTTTTAAAACAGTTATGTTTAATTATAATATCAAATACTGGCAATACTGGCAGAAGAGAAACATTTTGTTTAAAGAGACCAGTTATCGGAAAGGTTTTGAATAGCTAGGAAAAAAATAATAAATTTGAAAGTAATAACAAAGCAATGATCTGTTGACTTTTTTTTTTTTTTTTTTTTTTTTTTTTTTTTTGAGATAAGGTTTCTCTGTATTGCTTTGGTGCATGTCTTGGAACTCACTCTGTAGACCAGGCTGGCCTCGAACTCACAAAGACCCACCAGCCTCTGCCTCCCAATTGCTAGGACCAAAGGCATGTGCCACCACCACTGGCTGTTGGCTCTATTTTTAAACAGGAAAAATTAAATCACCTAATGGCATGGCCATTAACTGTGATACTGAAAAAGCATACAGGACTGGAGAGGTAATGGCTCAGCAGTTAGGAATGCTTGGAGCATTCAACTCCTAGCATGGTGGCTCACAATCATCTGAAACTCCAGTTCCAGAGACTCTGACTCCTTCTTCTGGACTCCCCAGGCACTTAACACACATGGTAAACAGACATACCTGCAGACAAAACACCTACACATAAAAAATACTAGCCAGGCAGTGGTGGCGCACACCTTTAGTCCCAGCACTCGGGAAACAGACAGAGGCAGCTCAATCTCTGTGAGCTCTAAAAAGCTACACAGAGAAACCCTGTCTCGAGAGAAAAAGAAAAAAAAAAAAAAAAAAAAAAACACATTAAAAATGTTTGGAAAAGTATGTACACACACCTTGTCATTTTCTCTCTTTTTTGACAATCTGCTGTATCTGTTAATTGCAGCATCATGATCTAGAAAACAGAAAAGCGTGTTAACAGTACAACCATACTTTGCAAACTACAATTATACTAGAGCTAGATAAGCATTCCCTACCATATGACCACTGTGTTCAAATGTTCTCCACAGCCCAGTTTCCCTTAAATTATGTCACTATGTATCACTAAGTTGGTGCCTGCTCTTTTCTGAAGGGAAACAGAGAAGCAGTAGATCTGGGGGAGAGGAGTGGCTAGGTGGAGAGAGGGGAGTGTGGTTGGGAGTATTGTATAAGAGAATAATAAATAAAAGAAAAAGGAAAGAATTAATCTCAATTCAAAATTGTAAAACTCTTTAAAAAAAAAAAAAAAAGGAGACCCGAGGATGTGTCTCAGTGGTGGAGTGCTTGCCTAGTATGCACACAGCCCTGGCTTCAAGATCCAGCACAGAAAGAGAAGAGAATATGAGAGGAAAAGAGAGGGGAAGAAAGAAAATGGTAATATTTAGAAAATGAGTAAAAGAGAATATTTTATGACCTCTTTAGGCATTATGAAGATTGTAAATTATACGACTGAAGTAACTGACATTCAAACATTTTTTTCATAAAAAGTATATTCAAAATATCATAACCATTTAGTTTAGTTAATTTTTTAAAATTATTACAAAAAATCAACCATGATGTATACTGATAAATAGATGAATGAAAGACATTAGTGTATAACATATTCAGGGCTTACCATTACTTGCAATCTGAAATACCTCTTTTAGTGTCAGTATTTCTGAAAAAGTTCAAAAATAATTTCAGTTTAGCATATTTATGAAATATTTTATTATACTTACAAAGCAATTAGTACCACTTAAGCTGTAACTAAAACTAAAATAGGAACTTACAGGCAAGGTGAAAAAGTTAGTTTTAGTTAGTCTACAAAGTATTCAAAATCATTAGCCACCAGAAGATCTACTTACCACAAATACAAGACAAAACAAATATTAATCCACTTTAAATATTAACAAATACAAACACTGACAATACTAGATTCTAACATATTAATTTGTCTTTATATGTGATTAATAATTTCAAATGCTGAGTAAAAAAGAAAAGATTATGCCATTCAGTTTTAGATTATGAATTCTTGTTTCTACCTTGGAACTCACCATTCTGAAGGATCATTTCAGTTATTAGCTCCATCTCTAAAAGTACTTGTCTTTAAACACTTTATCATTCACTGATATGTTTGTTTTTTACTTACTTTGAGTTTATAAATTATTAAAAAGAACCAGATCTATAAAACACTCATGTGATCACCTACTAACCTTAAGACACAAAAGTATCTACCAACTAGTAAGTGCACTAACTACTACAGTTGTTAGCTATGCCTGTGACGTAGCTTCCCCAGCCTACATGAACCTCTCCTCTGTCCACTACTATCATCTTCGCCTTCTTTATTCCTTCACTAGACTTTCACAACTTCTTAGTCTCCAAGATCCCAAACCCGCTCTATTCCCTCTAAAAACAAAAGGACTGTGTTTCTTTAATCCTCTAGAATTCAACACATTTACCATGCTTTAGTTCCCTCTACTGTTTCTACATCCATCTCTTGCCTTGCTTCGGCATATCCAGCACTGGATTTCTTATTATTCTCAGAATAATTTCTATCAACCTATATGCCTTTGTAAGTTCCATTCTCCTTAATAGAATTAACTCCTTTCTCTTAACACATTTCACTGTTCAATGCTCATATTGTGTCTTTGGTGAAACCTTTTTGATCATTTCCTCTGAGACCCCACAGCACCTTCTTATTCACTAATTACGAGAGACTGTCTACTGCTAACTCATCTCCTTTTTGAGGAAAGGACATTATTATTTGTTAGGGACTAGTTAATATCAAGCATATCCATAAATGTTTAGCAACTGCTTAAAATAAAAGTGGCATGTTATGGTCAGAACTGGTTTAGATAAGAAATAAAATGCACTCTTAGCAATGATCTTCTGACAACTTATGAAAATAAACAAGATTGACTTCAATACCTTTCAGATCTCTTTCTTTAAACTGGGAAATGGGGAACATCATGGCATCAGCAAGTTGAGTTGAAAGTACCGCATGACAAGAACTAAGCTAGTAAAAGAAAGACCACAGAGATCAAATAACTAACAGGTGACACAACTAATAAATGTTTATACATAGACATTTACCAATGTTATATAAATTTGAATCTAGTCTTTTAAAAGATTTGTTGTACTTGTTAATTTTTCTATTTTTCACAAATAAAAACAATAAAAATTATGTAATATAATACAAAATATGATATGATAAAAAAAATTCCTGCCTGGTGGTGGTGGTGTTATGTCTTTAATCCCAGCACTTGGGAGGCAAAGTCAGTCAGATCTCTGAGCTCTAGGCCAGCCTGGTCTACAAAGTGAGTTTTAAGATAGCCAGGGCTATTATAGAGAAACCCTGTCTTGAAAACCCAAAAAGAGGGGGGGAACTCCCCTCCCCCCTTTTTTTTCTTTTGCGAGACAGGGTCTCTCTACATAGCTCTAGTGGTCCTGGAATTCACTATGTAGACCAGGCTGGCCTTGAACTCAGAGAGCCACCTGCCTCTGCCTTTGTGCTGGGATTAAAGATGTTTACCACCATGCCCAGTCTAAAACTTTTATAAGAAAATTTAGGACAACACTCTCTCAGATATGATATCAAAAGCACAAGCAACAAAATGTAATGTTAAAATAGACTCTATTAAAACTGTGCATCAGAAGATACTATCAAGAAGGTAAAGATAAACAGAATGAGAAAACATTTGCCAAGCAGGTCTCAGAAGAAACTTGAATCTAGGTAATGAACTCCTACAATTTAATAATAAAAAAACAAATAACCTACTTAAAAATGGGCAAAGGATCTGGACACTTTCCTGAAGACTACAAAGGGTTGCTAATCACATGAAAAAAAAATGTTCTGTATCATTTAAGCTATCCAAACACTGCAAGTCAAAATGGCAATGAGATACACTCTACTCCCATTAAATCATTAAATGGCTACCTTTTTTTTTTTGGCTTTTTGAAACAGGGTTTCTCTGTGCAGCCCTGGCTGTCCTGGAACTCTGTAGACCAGGCTGGCTTTGAACTCATAGAGATCCACCTGCCTCTGTCTCCCAAGTGCTGGAATTAAAAAAGCCATGCGCTACCACCACCGGCTCAAATGGTTATCATTTTTTTAATGAAAATTCTTCCTAGCAAGGATAAAAAAAAAATAGAACTCTCATACACACAAAATAATCTAGTGATCCCCCTCAAAAAGCTAATCATAAAGTTACCATAAAATCAAGCAATTCCACTCCTGAGACTATACCAAAGAAGAACTGAAAGCTAGTATTTAAAAGATGAAACTAGGGTGCTGAAGAGCAGGCTCAGTGGTTAAGGGCACTGGTTGCTCTTCCCACAACTGTCTATAACTCTAGTTCCAGGGTATCTGACACCCTCATGCATAATACCTATAAACAAAAAAAATTAAAAGTAGATTGGGCAGTGGTGGTGCACACCTTTAATCCCAGCACTTGGGAGGCAGAAGCGGGTGATCTCTGTGAGTGAGAGTTCCGGGACAGCCAAAGCTACACAGGAAAACCCTGTCTTAAAAAAAAAAAAAAAGAAATAAAGATAAAAGATCAAACTAGTATAAGAATGATCAAAATTAAATAAACACCTACTAGTGGATAAACAAAAGGTGATAATATATATCTAAACATTGAAATTTACTCAACCAAAAAAAAAGAAATGAAGTACTGGCACAGATAAACTTATATTCAAAGTGAAAGAAGATACAGCTCAAAATCCACCAATTACACAGGTTAATTTATATGAAATATCCAAAGAGGCAAATATATAGACACAGAGAGCAAAATGCAATCATTGCCAAAGACTTGGGAAAATTTGAGGGTAAGTAATAGATAGATTAAAGGGAAAAAACTTCTTTTAGGATGATGAAATGAGTTTTTTGGTTTTTTGTGGTTATTTTGGTTTTTCAAGACAGGGTTTGTCTGTGTGGCCCTGCCTGTTCTGAAACTAACTCTGTGGACCACCTCCCAAATGCTGGGATTAAAGGTATACACCACCATCACCCAGCAATGAAAATGTTCTTGCTATAGATAACTATTATGGTTGTACAATACTGTTAATGGATTAAATATCATGAATATTAATATATTTTACCATAATTTAAAAGAGAAAAATTTCATTTCCTGTAAGCATTTTGTTTTGTTTACTTGAAGTGCCAGGAGTCAGACCCCGGTACTCACACATGCTAGTCAAGTATTCTATTACTAAGCTATTTCCCTAACCCAGTACTATTATTACTTATACTGATAACCTCAGATAATATTCTGCTATAATGAGTTATTAAATATTAGAAAAACTGGGGCTAGGTTATAGTTCAGTGGTTGAGGACTTACCTAGCACATGTAAGGCCCTGGGTTGGATCCCAAGCATGGCAAAAGTATGTATATGAGAATAATCACACAAATACTCACAGCTTTTACAGCAAGAGTAAAGAACAGTTACATCCTCCATACACATCTCAGTACTTTTCTTCTTCTAACTTCTAGGCCTTCCTGTTGTTATTGTCTTATGATCTGTTATGATTAATGGTTTGAGAAATTAAAAACTAATTTTGGATACTTTGCATGGATTAATGAGAACGGAACAGTAAAGTGATGGTAAATAGCAAAAGAAAAACCACAAAGTGCCTAGCTATACCAGACAGCATCACTCTTCTCTGTCTACATCAAATAACTGTGAAAAAATCGAATGATTCATGGGTTAGAAATAGATGAAAGCCACGTATAAGCTTATAATGTTTTAATTAGATAAGAAAATACTGATTTTATAAAAGCCATTACAACGAAGAAATTATGCCTTTTGATACTACCCTATATTGGACCCCCCCCCCAATAAAGGCAGGAGAAATGGCCGAATGTGTATTAGCACCTAATACCAAGCCTGAGGACTGATACTAACCCCAAGGACTGAGATGGTAGGAAAGAGCCTACTCCTGCAAGTTGTTCTTTAACCTCCACACAATAACTGTGATACCCTCACACTCACACAGACACACAAAATGAATAAAATTTTTATAGTTTTCAGTAAAAGTTGAATAATGAGTAACTTAGTTATAAGACCACCTATTCAAGCAAGATCAAAACTTACCTCATCTATAACCTTTGAAAACTGCTGTAAAGTAGAGCTCATAACTTCATCGTCACCCCCCAAAGGAAAACGCTGAAAAGTAAGAAATACAGATGAGATAAATGTTCAATGCTCCTTTTTGTTTGGTTGGTTGGTTGGTTGGTTGGTTTTTGTTTTTCAAGTCATGCTCTGTATCGCTCTGTAGACCAGGCTGGTCTTGAACTCACAGAGATCCCCTGCCTCTGCCTCCCGAGTGCTGGGAGCCACCATCACCCGGCTCCATGCTGGTTTTTTTTTTTTTTTTTTTATGAATAACACAATTTGTTCTTTCAAGTAATTCTAGAAACTTCAAAACCTTTGAACATGTTCCAAACTGTTCTTAATAAAATAATCTTCATAATCAATAAATAGTTTTAAATGTTTGTTAAGAAATCAACTAACAAGATATACTAGAATGTACTTAATACTAGGATTTCAAAGATTTGGCTTTAGCTCAGGCTCCTCCAACAAGTAACAGCATAACCTTGACCAAAGCTGGTTTCTTTGTTAGTAAAAAGGAGAAAGCTGGAAAAGCAGACAGCCTAAGTTCTAACATTAAGTCACTACTAATAAGGACTTTATGAAATTTCAACAGTATATCCTGTAAACTCAGTAAATCCTAAGAGGCCATGTGGTGGTGAATGCCTGAAATCCCAGCACTCTGAAAGTCACAGCAGGAGGACCATGAGTCTGAGAACAGTCTGAACTATATGGTAAAACCCTTGCTCTAAAACATAAAAATAAAGATTCTGAATGGCAAAGTTTTCTATACAGATACTATATAGTTACATATGTTAAATCATGCTTTAAAACCTTGACATATATACCTGTTTTTCATATTCTTTTAAAAGTTTCGAAGTCAGGTGTGTTGCTGCACTTAATTCATTCTAAGGGAAAAGATCAAGATTCAAATTAGTAAAATATTACAGTTAAGAAAAATGTTAACTGATATATCTAAGCCCCCTTTATTTATTACCACTTTATACCATATACATATTTTTAACTTCTCAGCAATGGAAAAGGAACTATCATTAAAAATGTTTCAAAAGAAAATGCAAACCAGAAGAGAAACACTGTCAAAGAAATCAGCAATGTTCCAGGTACATACTTTTTTCTTTTCTTTTTTTAAAGACATGGAGTCATGTAGCCCAGGCTAACCTCAAACTTGCTGTGTAGCTATGGTCAGCCTTGAACTTCTGATCCTCTTGCCTTTGCCTCCCAAATGCTGAGATTACAGAATATTTACTAGCATACCCACCTTCAGGTATGTGCTTTTTACCTGTTTTGTTGTTGTTTTTAAGGGTTAAAGCTAGAAGTAAACTGTATATAATGTCAGCAAAATTTGTAGTGATTCTATGAGAATGACTGATTACTCTTCAACCTAAACAATATGAACATTCAATAACATACAATGTGCTTAACATAGGGGATAACAAAGCAACACAGCCAAATGAATTTTAGTTAATTCATTTTTTTTCAGTTGTGATATAATAATACTTTACTTATTAACTGAACATCTGTGGCCAAAAATGAAGCCATGTAAAACCTATCATATGGGGTGGGAGGTAGGGCAACTATCATAGCAATAGATAGGAAGAGAAGAAAAATAAAATTAATTCTTAAGTAATCCCAAATAAAGTACATCAAAGAATGCAAGCTGCTGTTCAAGCTTATAAATTATACAAACACAGCCTTCTCAAGTTTTATATCTATTCTACAAGAAAAAGTAGTCATAGACTTCTGCTTTCAAAGCCTTTACTACAAAAAAGAAAAAGAAAAGACTCCTTAAAGTTTAAAAGCATGATTAAGGAAAATATCAGTGAATTCCAGTAAGAAAGTTCTTACTATGAGGAGATGGGATGGTCCCTACAACCTTGTCACTTTTTTAGTACTACAAATCTTATTAAAATATTGCTGTGAAAAGAAGCCATGACCACAGCAACTCTTATAAAGGAAAACACTTAACTGGGACTGATTTACAGTTTCAGAAGCTTAGTCCATTATCATTGTTAAGGTAAACAATGGCAGTATGCAAGCAGACATGGTGCTGGAGAAGGGGCTGAGAGTTCTACATCTTGATCTGCAAGGCAGCAGAAGTAAATGCCACATAGGCCAGCTTGAGCATATGAGACCTCAAAGCCCACCCCCACAGTGACACACTTCCCCCCAACAAGGCCATACCTCCTAATAGTGCCACTCCCTATGAGCCAAGCACTCAATAGGTTTAAATAGGAATGGTGTTCCTATTCCTATTCAAACCACCACAGTATTCATTCATCTGTTCAACAGGTATTACTCTGGACCTAAACATGAATGAGGTATGTAGCAGTAAGTCACGTAGATACTATCTCTGTCCCCATGTGTAGTGAGATATTCACTTTGTCTGCACCTGTTACACTGACCACGCCCACTGGGGGTAGAGACAGGTGCAGACATGAACTAGGGGAACTAGGTCTGAGGAAGGGGACCCCAGAGAGCTTTCTCGCTTGCTGGACAGAGAGCATCAGGAGGCATCCTTAGGACAGGAACCTGCTGGCGGTCATCTGTCTCTGTTGTAAGTTACTTCTCTCTAATAAAACATCTTTTCAGCCTATCTGTTTTCTCCAATCCTTATTATTCCACAATATCAGTTGCACATGCATGGGCATTAGCTGCAGCACATGTCCAGTGGCCACTATGAGTACAAGGATGCTGTTCTTAACTGGTCAGTAACTTGGCAGCTTCCTGAAGCTGCCCTATATGTGGCTCTAGGTGGAAATCTCTTGTTGAATAGGTGTTTATTCTGATATCTTTGCCAGTAGTCTAAAAGCAAAATAAGAAACAATGAGAACTAAATCTGTCATTGGCTCAGGGTTGGTGACATAGAAAACAGAATTGGAATTTTACCTGGGCTTTTCTTAAAGTTAAAATGAAAAAGCAGATGGCCAGCCCAGAAAGTTAGGATTTAATCATTCACTTTAAAAATGGGTGGTAGGACATCCATGCAACATCTGTCCAACTATGTTTGTAGCAGCATTATTTGTAATAGCAAGAACCTGGAAGCTACCTAGAGGCCCCTCAACTGAAGAATGGATGGAGAAAATATGGTACATTTACACAATGGAATACTACTCAGTGGAAAAAAACAATGGAATCTTGAAATTCACAGGCAAATGGATGGAGCTTGAGGAAATCATCCTGAGTGAGGTAACCCAGTCACAAAAAGAGGAACACGGTATGTACTCACTCATATATGGATTTTAGACATAGAGCAAAGGATCACCAGCCTACAATTCACACCGCCAGAGAAACTAGGATACAAGGAGGAATCTAAGAGATTCATACAAGGTCCCTCACAGAAGGGGAAAGAACAAGATCTCCTGAGCATATTGGGAGTAGCGGGGAGGCAGTGAGTAGAAAAGGAGCTAGGAGAAAGAGAAGGGGAGGAGAGGAAAGCATGTGGGACTAGGAAGATTGAGTCAGGGAAGAAATAGATGAAAGCAAAAAGAGATACCATAATAGAGGGAGCCATTATAGGTTTCAAGAGAAAACTGACTCAGAAATGTCCAGAGACCTACAAGGATGACCCAAACTAACAATCTGAGCAACAATGGAAAGGCTACCTTAAATGCCCTTCCCTGATAATGAGATCGATAACTAACTTATATGCCATCATAGAGCCCTCATCTAGTAGCTGATGGAAACAGAAGCAGACACCCACAGCTAAACACTGAGCTGAACTGGAATCCAGATACAGAGAGGGAGGACAAAACCAGGCTACAGAAACCCACAGAGACAGCTGACCTGAACAAAGGGGAGCTCATGGACCCCCCCCCCAGACTGATAGCTGAGAAACCAGCATTGGACCAACTCAGACCCCCTGAACAATGGTTTTAGAAGGCATGGGCAGTCTATGGGAACTCTGACAGTGGAACCAGGATGTATCCCTGGTGCACAAAAGGACTTTGAGAGCACATTCCCCATGGAGGAATACTCCCTTAACCTAGAGGCAGGAGGGAGGGCCTAGTCCATAATCCAAATGACTTGACAGATTTTGATGACCCCTCCTGGAAGGCATCACACCCTCCCTGTGGAGGGGAGGTAGGATGGGAGGGGGATGAGGGGGCATGGAAGGGAGGGAGAGGGACCTGGGATCAATATGTAAAATTAAAAAAATTTTATATATATATGTATATATATATATATATATACATATATATATAAAAGAAAATAGGTAGTAGGGTAGTGTTCTGAGGATTCGTCTCTGACTGAAGTTGTAGCTCATAGTTCACTGAGACTGTGAACGGTAAAGTCGAGGCAACTCATGTGCTAAGAGATTCTCTTTTAACTAGTATTGTATTGGTCTTTTAATTCTTTACCTGTGCATCATAAATCCGATGCATAGCTTGATACAGTTGGTTCATGTAATTGGAAATAGCGGTAGCATCTTCTTCAAATACACCCAATAAAGACCTTGTCTGTAAAAGAAAACATTATAAGTTTACATAAATCATAAATCAGTATATAAATCAGACAGTGAAACACTTTTTTCTAAAAGCAGTAAAATACTAGAACTCTAGTAATTCTGACTTTTAATCTGTTTAAATTTTTTTGATAATAATGTCAAGTCAAAGAATTATTTTATTCTATTTCATTTCATTAAAGTAGGAGCATAAAAGCTGGGCATGGTAGTGCACACCTTTAATTCCAGCACTTAGAAGACAGAGGAGGAACAGATCTCTGAGTTCAAGGCCAGCCTGGTCCTCAGAGAGAGTTCTAAGACACTAGGCCTACACAGAAACCCTACCTCAAAAGAAAAACAAAGAGTAGTGTAAGCAAGAAGAACAAAGATGTGCTTTTGCAAATTAAAATTCCTGTAATAAAACCTAAAAACAAGAAGCAATGCATGATGGCCATACTAAAAAAAAAAAAGAAAAGAAGGAAGGAAAGAAAATAAGTAAGTAGGGGACAATTACAGCTTAAAATCCAAAGGATGACACTACCCCAACCCAATACACACATGTAGTTTACTCATTTTAAGATAGGGTCAAGCTGGCCTCAAACTCATGGTAGTCACTCTGCTTTAGCACCTGAAATACTGAAACTACAGATGTGAGCCACCACACCCAGAAGGACTTGGTATTTGTATTCACTAACTTCCTGTATTCAAAGGAAGAACTTAGGCAACTGGGTGTAGGGTGTAGCACAAGACCTCTGTGACATATTAAGTCCACAGTCTCAGTACTCTACTTTGTCAAACTTTCTTTTTTCCCCTATTATCATCTTGCCTCACCCTCTTAGCAGCTGAAACTATATCCATGCACTACAACTGGACAGATAAGGTAGACTCTTCTTCACTCCAATCTCTCAGTGCTGCTTTAAAACATTAAAATAGAAGAAAGCTAGGCATAGCGGTGTATGTCATTCATCCCACTACTCCAGCACTCAGGAGAAAGAGGCAGGTGGATTTCTGAGTTCTAGACCAGCCTGATCTACATAGTAAGTTCCAAGACAGCCAGGACTACACAGAGAAACCCTGTGTGTGTCTTTTTTTTTTTTTTTTTTAAATTTTATTTTTATTTCATGTACATTGGTGTTTTTGCCTGCATGTGGGTGTGGGTGCTGGGAATTGAAACTGGGTCCTCTGGAAGAATAGCCAGTGCTCTTAACCGCTGAGCCATCATCTCCCTAGCCCCCAGGAACTGTCTCAAAAAAACAAAATAATAATAATTAATTAACTAAGAAGATTTGACAGGCGCTTGCCTTTACTCCCAGCACTTGGGAGGCAGAGGCAGGCAGATCTCTGAATTGGTGACCAGCCTGATCTACAGATCAAGTTCCAGGACAGGCTCCAAAGCCACACAAAGAAACCTGTGAGGGTTAGGGTTTTTCCTCCTGCTGTTGGTCTTGTCCTGCTGCCGCACCAGCCCCAATTAACACACAGAGACACTGTATTTGATATAATGCTGTTGGCCAGTTACTTGTTTTTTATCGGCTAGCTCTGTCTTAATTATTAACCCATTTCTGTTAATCTAATATTTCCACGTGGTCTCATCTTACCGGAGAATGGACCCAGACCTCTGTTCTCTCCAGTCTCCCCATCTTGACTCCTCCTTACTCCTTCCTCTTTCCTCCTTGTCTTCTAGTCCCGCCTATCTTGCTTTCCTATTGGCCAACAGTGCTTTATTCATTAGCCAGTATGAGAAACGTATTTACAGAATGATATCTCCCATCATCTTTTCTGTCTAAATAAAAGGAAGGGTTTTAACCTTAACATAGCAAAATATATCACACAACAATTATCAAATAAGAATCACAGTAAATAATATTTAGTCCATTAACATTTAGTAAGATTTGAAGAAAATATTTTATCACCTATTTTATCTTTGTGTGTCTAAAGTCTATGTGTAACTTATCTTTAATCCTAACTAAGGAAAACTATAACCATAACTATCTGTCTTCAACTCCTTCAAAGAGCACAGAAGGATAATATATAAACTCTAGAAATGACAGAGACATCTTGCTACCTGGTCAGGCACCTGAAGTTTTTCTGTAATGTTTTATCTTCAGCCCATAGGCCATAGTGTATCTGGCAGACTCTTCAGCAAAGTAGGAAACTTTAAACTGTCTTTTTGTATTGGCAGTTTGTCAGTCACTTTTTTCTGTGTCCTGCAGAATGTCTGGCAGACTCTTTCATAAAGCAGGAACTCTGCAGCAATGTCCATCTTGAATCAGCAGTCACTTTTTTGTGGGTTATGCATGTCCAGTTCATACAGCATAAAGTCAAACAGTCCAGACAAGAGCAGTATCTTGTTCAAATGGCTAGTTTTGCCACATTGGAAGTAACCTTTATAACGCGTTTTTTTTATGTCCATCTTCAATCTTTCTTTTTGGTGTAGGTGGTATTGCCAGGAGCGTTTATGTCTCACTGTCAAGAAAAACCCTAAACCATTTTAAATGGCATTTCTGTAGGTCTTTGAAAGATTTTAAGAATGCCTATCCATCCCAAGTACATCTTGAAAACCTAAGTAACTTAACTCCAAGTTTTGACCATCACAGGCAACTATCTATAATCTGCACTAAGTTATACATTATATTTAAATGAGCTATATAAACACAACGCCCAAACAAGAGGAGAAATATACACATCACAAAATTGAACTTAAATTGTATCAATAAACGAAAATCCATTCCAAAATAAAGCATTCATATCCATACCACAATCCTCTTTTTATCTTTAAAAAGAGATTGGTTGTGGTCATTGTAAATATGTTTCTCATACTGGTTAATGAATAAAGCACTGTTGGCCAATAGGAAAGCAAGATAGGCGGGACTAGGAGACAAGGAGGAAAGAGGAAGTAGGAAGGAGGAGTCAAGATGGAGAGTCTGAAGAGAGCAGGACACCAGCCAGCTCTCCAGTAAGACCACGTGGAAATACATAGATTAACAGAAATGGGTTAATAATTAAGACAGAGCTAGCCGATAAAAAACAAGTAACTGGCCAACAGCATTATATCAAATACATACATAGTCTCTGTGCATTATTTGGGGCCAGCGTGGCAGTGGGACCAGACCATCGGCAGGTGGAAAAACCTACTCCTTACAGAAACCCTGTCTCAAAATAAATAAATAAATAAAATAAAATAAAAAATCACTGATTCCTATTTTCAAAACAACATAAGACATGTCCTAGTCGAGACTTAATTTTTTCTCCTTTAAATACCCTTATGTTAAATAAGTTAGATTTGAACTTTGCAAGCTTTACTGTAAATCAAAACTTAAAAAAAAAAAAAAAAAAGTGCCAGAGGCCAGGTGATAGTGTTGAATGCTTTTAATCCCAACACTCCAGAGTCAGAGGCAGATGGATCTCTGAGTTCCAAGCCAGCCTGGTCTACAAAGCAAGTTCCAGGACAGCTAAGGCTGTTACACAAGTGAAACCCTGTCTTGAAAAACAAAACAAATTTTTAAAAAGCCCAAATATAGCTGAATTCAAGCTCCAACAATAAAAAAAAAATCTTTAAAATAACTACAATTAAGGATTTTCCATGATTCCCAAGTTCTAACTTTTCGCTTAGTAATTAACAGGTCATTTTGCTGGGGCTGGAGAAGCTACTGTTAGTATTCAGGCATCTGTACTGGTCTGCTCTTGGGGTTCTGACAGGATATGCCCCCAGCTGCAGCCACTAAGAGCACCACCTGTGCACATTCCCTACATTCCCTTTTAAAAGGGCCCTGCCCACCTCCCATCTCACTCCCCCTCTCTTCCTCCCTTCTTTCTCTCCCTCCCCTTCTCCCCTCCCTCTTTCTCTTTTTCCCTCTCTGTCTCTCCCTACCTCCCTCTCTCTCTCTCCTTCCCTCCCCCTCCCCTGTTCTGCCACTCCTGTCCCCAGAAACTAGTCTCCCCTCTCCCCTTCCCATTCAATTCCCCCAATAAAAACCCTCCACATGGGGTCGAATGGTCCCAAAAGCATTAAGCTCAGCCCTAATTTACAAAAGTAGAACTTTGGAAAAACTCTAAAAGTACAATGGGAGCTGGATATGGTACATCTGCTATAGTCCCAACTATTCTAAAAGCTGAGGCAGAGGGAACTCTTGAGCTAGCAACACAAGCGTGTCCTCTCAAAACAAAACAAAAATCTTTTTAAAAGATATGAGTAAGAGGTCTAGTTAGGAAGAGAAAGGGAAAACAATAGAGGTAAAGGGCAAATACAGTAAAAATGGAATGTCATAATAAAATTCATTGTTATAATATATGTTAATAAAAACATTTTAAAATATGTCTGTTAAAAATCACTTGAGAAAATATACAGGCTTGATACTATGATGTCATTTTAGCTATACAGCACCAGGTAAAAAAAGCTGGACACAGTGGCAGGTGCATGTAATCCTAGTGCTGGGAAGGCATAGACAAGCAGATCCTTAGGGCTTGCTGCCCAGCCAGCCTAGCCTACATGATCCCGTGAGAGTCCTCAGTCTCTAGGGGAAATACTATCTCAAAAACAGAAGCTAGACAGAGGCAAAGGAGGAATGACAACTGAGGCTGTCCTCCAGCCTCTACATGCATGGATGTACAAGAGCTGCACACATATAATCACATACTAATAGGGCTGGAAAGGTGGCTCAGTTACCCTGCAAGCTTGAGGAACAGCGTCCAGATTTCCCAGAACCCATGTAAAAACTGGGCATGTGCAGGTACTCTCAACATTTACAAGAAAGAGACAGGATACCTGTCACAAGCTGGCTTGCTAGACTACCTGAATTAACAAACCCAGGGTTCAGAGAAAGACCCTGGATGGTAAGCAATAAAAGAAGATAAATCAATTTTTGGCCTCCATTCACATGAGCACACAGACGTGCAAACACATACATTACAACACATATACACACAATAAAATAAAAGCAAAATTGAGGATTTGTCTTAGTGGTACAGCATTTGCCTTCCAGGATTCAGTCTTCAGCCCCCAAAAATATAATCGTTTTAAATTAAAAAACAGGCTGGAGAGATGGCTCAGTGGTTAACACACTGGCTGCTCTTCCAGACAATCCAGGTTCAATTTCCAGCACCCACAGCCATTAGTAATCCCAGTTCCAGGGGACCCAACACCCTCTGCTGACCTATGTGGGCAACACGAATGCAAGCCGTGCACAAGCACGTACAGCCAGAACACCCATGTACATATAAACAAATTTTAAATTAAAACAGCAATAACAACAACTAAAAGCACTTGCGGTTCAAGCTTGCAACCACCAGTCAGAGACGGGGAGCCCAGCCTGGCCTACAGAATGAGCCTGATTCAAGTTGTAAACTAATTACATGGAAAATTCAATATTATCACTACATCGAAAGTCCCAGATAGGGCACTGTGCAACCCATTCTCTTTGTATGAGTATAAAAGAAGTTCAGACAGTGTATTAAGTCTTAATTTTTAAAAAAGTAAAAAGATAAATTGTGTGGCCAATACAACCACGCAATTGTTGCAAATCATCTGAAATAAATATAACTTAATGACATTACATGGAAAAAGTCATTAAACAAAATTTAAACCAGCTGTGAGATAACCCAAAATGTGGGTGTCTCTTATATTGCCTGATGAAGGAGATATTACGTCTGAGCAAGTGGCCTATGAAGATAGCTTTCAGAATGAGAAAAGAATAAATCAATCCTAAAATCTGAGCCTAATTTCAACCTCGAAATCAAAACTGGCACAAAATTCATGGCAAAAGTGTCATCCAGGAAAGCAAGCTCTAGCCCTTTTCTTTCTTTCTTTTTTGTGGGGGAGGGGGGCACACTACACCATAAATGCAAATAAAACACGAATTTCTAGGCAAGTATTGCTTAAGAAATCCAGCAGCAACATTGTTCTATATTCCTTACTATACATAAAAGCTGGCATTAAGGATGAAGTTGACGCAAATTAGAGGCCCTAACACCTTTCAAAACACAACAGATGTCATTCAGTACTGAAAAAGAAATCTAACAGTTTTATTTTCCCACTGTCTTCAGCTAAAGCAACCACACCAGCATCATCCCCAACACACACACACACACACACACACACACACACACACACACACACACACACACACACACACACACACACACACACACACACACTCAGCAGCGCAGGCGCCTTCCGTCACCCGCGGAGCAGACCTCAGGTGACGTCCACCGGCCTGAGCCTTGGCCGACACACGGTGAGGAGCAAGGCGCACACTACCCGGCCATCGGCGTTGCATAGTCGGCCTCACAGCCCCCTTGCGAAGGAAGCTGGCCAACGCTAGCCCGTGCGTGCCAGGCCTCGGAAAACGCCACGACCGGGACTTATCGCACCACCTCGTATCATCGCGATAAAAACAGCACCTCCCAGGAAACGCAAAGGATACCCGGCGCGGACTCAAGCGCCAGGCCCCACCGGGGACCACGAAAGCTGCTCCGTCCGCGGCCCAGCCGCGCGGGCCTCCAGCCGGGCCCGGGAGTGCAGGGCGCGGTCCCCAGCGGGCAGCGACCCCGGGCGGCGGCGCCAACCTGGGCCGCGCGCTGCCCTCGGCAGCCGCCTGTACCTCACCTGCGGACTGTCTTCCAGCGTCTCCTCAATGGGCAGCTTGTCGATCCCCGGCATCGTGGCGAAGGCTGGGCGGCGGCAGGACACTCAGCAGCCGCCCACAGCTCGGCCCGGCGCCCCGCCTGCAGCAGCTGACCCGGCCCGCCCTCTCGCAGGCGCCACCGCCCCAGCCAGATGCTCATTGGCGGCCGCGAGGGAAATCCCGCCCTCCTGAGCCTGTAAGTCCCGCCTCCGGCACGCCCATTGGTTCGCTGAGACGCCCGTCAACGCTACGGGGCTAACCTGGGAGATTCCTTCGCGACCGCTCGCCCTCTTCGGAGGTAAGATCGCTGTCTCTTGTCGTGCGGGAGCACAGTTACCCAGAGCCTGCAGCGAAGACCGCTGCAGTTAGTTGTACGCCTGCACCGCGTTTCGTCAGCAACCTCTGGCCCCATACCCTTCCCAACCCTGCTCCAACTCTTAACTTCTGCAAAGCGGTGCTAACCCACAAAGCTCTGAAATCCGAAATTGTGTCCTTAGCGCGGTTCACAGTTAATTTGTAGGTGGCAGATCCCAAACCGTTTTTTTCTGGATACCTGGCTACCAGTATACTCAGTTTAAAACCCTTGCATTAATGAGTCATTAGTTCTTGCCTGGCCTTGAAGTCCGACGTGCTGGAATTGTGACCACCGTATCTCTAATATATCACAAAGGAAAACGTCTTTTAAAATAAAAAAAAATTACAAAAATACAGCTGCTGGGAAGTGTATCTCCATCAGTAAAGTGCTTGTCCTGCAAACTGACTGGCATTTCTGTTTCGCCAAAAGGTTTTGGAAGAGACTTGAACAGCTAGTCTCTCGGGTCCCCTTGACTGTAGAGTGAAGCTCAACACTGTTGGAGATTTGGCATGTAAGGGCTGGAACGCTATTCCTTTTACTGTTTCAGCCTTGTTGCAAACTTTTCTCCAGCTTCACATTGTTTTATTTCTCTGTAGTGTTAACCAAAGCATTTATCCGTATACAGAGAAAGTGGCAAAATCACTAATATTTCCCCCCCAAAAAATAAATTTACCCATGAACCTCACCAGTCCCTTCCATTGTCACTCAAAAAAGTAGGATGATAGCTAAGAGAAGAGGATTAGCTTCCTTGTTCTCCAGCCACTTCAGCTGAACCAAATCCAAACACTGTGGAGCCAAGTCCAAATATGGTAATAATGAACATGAAGTTGCATATCTGAAATTAAAGTTACTAGATTTTCCCCATCATCTCTTGAAAGATAAACATTGTTTCGGAAGTTTTATGATAGATTTGTATTATAGTGTCACAGAATTATCTGTAGTGTTACAGTCATTTTATGAGAACTCATCCCTTGGCTTCTCTACCAACTAGTCACCCTCTTGAAGAGACCCTTAGCTTTTGAAGAAAGGTGTCTTGGAGCCAGTTCTCACTTACCTTGTATGAAAGGTTCCAACTTGTATCGTGGGTTATCTTATTCTTGACACTTCTTTTTACTAGGCCAATACAAACAGGATACAACTAGCTGTAAGGAAACAGTTTTCAGACAGGGTGTGGTGACATGTGTCTGTCACCCAGCATTCAGGAGGCAGAGGCCCAAGGACACTTGCAAGTTGAAAGCCTTTGTGTGGGTACCGAGTTCCAGACCAGCCAGGACCACGTAGTGAAACCCGGTGCCACAGAAACAGAGAAAGAGGTGAAGAGGGAAAGGGAGAAAGAAAACTTTCCAGGGTAAGTAACCTTTTTGCTTAAACTGAAATTCGTAAAAGGGGGAAAGGGGAATGAAAGATAAAGATAACTGATAATAATCAAGAATGACAATTGTCAAAGTATGAGAAAGAAGAGTAATTAGGTGGTATAATGAGGATTTAACCAACCAATTTGGTCAAGCCCAAAAAAAGAAAAGAAAATTTATATTTAGCATCTGAATTATCTGGGTGTAATGATATCATCAAATTAAATATTTTTCTCTATTGTTAGTGTAATGTATCTAAACTGTTCCTGTAAAGTGGGCTCAAGAGGCTTACAACATTATTTTAAAAGGGCAAGGAATTCTTGCCAAGCCTAGCTGGTTAAAAATAAAAACAGTCAGCCAGGCATGGAGCACTGGAGAGCCAAGTGGATCTCTGTGAGTTCAAGGCCAGCCAGGACTACAGAGCTAGCTCCAGGACAGCCAAAGCTGTTACACAGAGAAACCCTGTCTCAAAAGACCAAAGATAACAAATAAACATATTGTTGATGAGTTAGGTTAAAAAGTATTTTAATCAGATTATAAAATTATAAAACTAGAAAGACTTAAAGCACCTGTAACCTTAGGAGACTGTAAACCCTGTTCAACCAAGTATATGATTTTACTCATTATTTTAAAACAACTCTAAAACTGAAGAATTTATATTTTCTTTTGATAACCAAAAGGTTAATGGAGTTTTGTTTTGTTTAGTTTTGGGGGTTGGGTAGGGTATTTTTTTTTTTTTTAATGATTTACTTTATCTACATTTTGTTCTGCCTGCATGTGTGTCTGTGTGAGGTGGCAGATCCCCTGGAACTAGAATTTCAGACCATTGTGAACTGTCATGTGAGTGCTGGGAATAGAAACCTGGGTTCTCTGGTTAAGGGCCAATGCCACCCCTTGTTTTATTTCTAGAAAGTCTCTTGTAGGCCAAGCTGGCCTTAGTCTTGCTATGTGACAAAGAATGAACTTGAACTTCTGGGGAACCTGCCTCCACCTCCTGAGTGCTGGGGTAGCAACTCTGCCACTATGCTGGATTTTATGTGGTGCTGGAGATGAAGCTCATGACTTCATGTGTTCCAGGCAAGCATTCTACCATTGAGCTACAGCTTTAGCCTTTTGTATAACTAACCAACTCAATTCAATGCAAGCCCATTTCCTCCTTATGCAAGAAACAGGGCTTGTTCAGAGAATGCCTTTGGGGTTACTGGACACTGGCATGTGGATAATATAGTAAAAACTTTAAGCAACTGGTTAATTTTATATGGGAAGCAAATAAGGATGAAGCAACACCCATCAAAGAATTCTTAGAGATACTTTACACATTGAGACGTTTCACACATGCAATTTACAATGAAAAGTTATACAGTCCCAATAATAGACTTGTTAATTACTAGTCTCATGAAATTATATTTGGTATTCTTATAATTAGGTTTTTGCATGATACTCCTTGAAGTGCTGATTTGTAGTTTGTAATAGGGAAGAATCCAACAACTGAAATTACTCTGGGTCTTCAATTTTTAAAATTATCCCCCTAGTTTAATGGTTTCCAGATGTAAGCACAGCACATACAAAAATCATCTGAAAGATTGTTAGTAGACAAATTCCTAAACCCTGATAGAAATTTCTGTTGTAGTACAGAGTGAAGCTGAGAATCTATGTAAGAAAACCTCCATCAGCCGGGCAGTGGTGGTGCACACCTTTCATCCCAGCACTTGAGAGACAGAGGCAGGTGGATCTCTGAGTTCGAGGCCAGCCTGGTCTACAGAGTGAGTTCCAGGACAGCCAGGGCTACACAGAGAAACCCTGTCTCAGAGAAAGAAAGGGGGTAAGAAGGAAGGAAGGAAGGAAGGAAGGAAGGAAGGAAGGAAGGAAGGAAGGAAGGAAGGAAGGAAAGAAGGAAGGAAATAAGGGAGGGAGGGAGAGAGGAAGGGAGAGAGGAAATAAGAGAAAGAAATTGAAAGAAAGAAAAAGAAAACCTCCATCAAAAATGAGATAGAGAATTACCATTTTTCTTTCCCAAATAACTTTGTACTTTATAAATTTTATAGTCAGTATAAGAGTTATAGTTCAGTGGTAGAGTGTGTCTCTAGCATGTATAAGGCCTTGGTTTCAGGCCCCAGCACAACATTTAAAAAATAGTAATACAGACATTTAGAAGGGTAATTACTAGTGATCTACTCAGAGTGGTGAGAGAAGCATCATTTCTAGAAACCTGTGGAAAGCTACCTACTCACAAATACCCCTCAAAGACTCCACAGTCTGAAATTTGGGGTCATTAATGCGCCTTTCAGAAGATGATACATAACCTGAGCATAGTGGTACAACCTGTAATTCCAGTGCTCAAGATAGAATCACACACACACTCACACACACTGAATACTTTTGAATGTCACTGTAGTGGGACACAAACAGAAAATCCAATTATTTTCTTTTTAACATGCAGCTGAGATGAACTAAATTCAAGAAATTGATATATGAATTGGTGATTTGGAAGCTCAGATCATTCCAACTGCTTTTTTAAAAAAATGTTCCTTTTTAGAAGGAGATAGCACTGACTAATTTCTTTGCTCAGTCCGAGAACGTTGGCATATGTTGGCACCATTCCCATTTCTGATGAGAAAGGAAGAGAATATGGATTGTGAGCTCTTGGTTAGGCCCACTTGCCTGGATTAGAAACCTGTCTCTTGCACTTAGCAGTTCTGTGACTTTAGCCAAGTTACTTCTCTGTGTCTTTACTCTGTCAGCTGAGAAATGAGGCTTAGTAAAGGGGACCTACATTGTAGAATTAATAAACTCATCAGTTAGCTTTAGAGTAGTACACAGCAAATAATTGATCAGTAAAAAATAAACCTGTCCTTTTCAATATTTACTGTTAAGTGTTAAAATACTTTAATGTTCTTACTGCAGCTTCCATTTTCTTCATTTTCCCTTTATCATATGCAAAGAAAGCAATGTGTTCTGAATCAGAAGATCATGCTTTTTACCTTAGGGGGGTTACAATGCCATTTAAACAAAACTGTTGCCTTTGCTGTTTTATCACTGTGACTTAGGAGAGAACTGGCCAAACTAAAAATTTTTAAATTAAAAATAAATAGTTTAGCCTGTTTTCTTCTCTTGTTTCAGGTTTCTTTCCTTTTTCTTTTCTTTTTCTCTTCTGTCTTTTCTGACAGGGTCTCATATAGCCTGAGTTAACCTCAAACTCTCTTTGTAGCTCAAGTTTGCCTTGAACTCCAATCCTTTTGCCTCCCTCTTGGCAGGTGGAGATAGAGTACACCACCTTGGTTTCTTTAGTCCCTTTTTCTTTTTTATTTATTTTTTGTCAGGGTTTCTCTGTGTAGCTTTGGAATCTGTGCTGGCACTCGCTCTGTAGACCGGGCTGGCCTCGAACTCACAGAGATCTGCCTGCCTCTGCCTTCCGAGTGCTGGGACTAAAGGCGTGCGC